GTATTGCAGACCTTCGACCACATCTTCAAATTTGTTGCTTAGAGGACTGAGCAGTTGGTGGGGGCCCTGATTAGGGCGCCTCCTCTGAGGTCGTTGTCTTGGCCTAGTGTCTTCATACGGTCTCTGTGGTCGGTTGTATTGTCCATACCTGTAGCGATTGTATGTGTTATATGGGGTGTATCGCCTGCGTTTGAAAGGCGGTGTGTACATGCCTAATGTACAAAGAGTGGTTTTTGAATTCTTACTGTTGTGTAGCATTTCGTCTGTAGAAGCTGCAAATAATTTTTGCTTATCGAATGGTAAATCTTCTACTTTGGGCTGAAGATCTCGGGGAACTCCAGATGACTGTAGCCAGGAAGTTCTGCGCATGACTACCGCCATAGCCGTAGTCCTGGCTGCGGTGTCAGCGACGTCCATTGCGGTTTGGAGAGTGGTGCGAGCGATCGTATGGCCTTCATGGAATATCGCTTTCAAGGTAGATCTTTTGGATTCAGGGAGATGTGGTATCAGTTCTCCCAACTTCGAATAATTATCGAAGTCATGATTCGCTAAGAGGGCAGAATAATTTGATATTCTTAGTTGTAGTGTAGAAGAGGAGTATATCTTCTTGCCGAAGAAGTCTAGCTTTTTATGGTCCTTGTCCATATTGCCATTTTTGTATTGTGGCAACTTCGCTCTTTGCTGTGCTGATTCAACAACTAAGGAGTTGGCTTGTGGATGTGTAAACAGGAAATCATTGTCTTTTGGTAGAACGAAATATTTTCTGTCAATCTTTTTATTAGTCAGCTGTATGGATGCGGGTGTCTTCCACAGCTCCTCGTCAATTGGAAGGGCAATCTTACTGTGCAATGTAGGGTGCAGGTTCTTTAACAAGTGATGTTGTTTCCTTTGCACTTCTTGGAGGGAGACATGCTGACTTGTCGCTACTCGTTTAAATAATTCTTGAAACTGTCTGAGGTCGTCAATCACTTCTGTATCTGATGGTATAACTGCCACATCTTGTTGGACACTCAGGTCGTCAAGGTGTGTAATGTTTATTGATTGGATATCGGATTCATTGTCCAAACTTCTTTCCTCCTCCTCCTCCTCCTCTGCATGTGTTGCCGGAGGCAGGGGCTGTAGATGAGGCAGGTTCCTTCGAGATGGTGAGGAGTGGGCTGAGGACCGACGTCTGTATGGGTCCCAATGATCCCAGGGCCCCCATTGGGGGGGGTGGGGGGGGGGTGGGTATGACCAGTAAGGATGCCATGGTGCTTGTTGTGGTCCAGCCCTATGATAGTATGAGCGAGACCCCCTTGGCGATGTGTGTCGTGAAGAATATGTCGTATGTCGGTCATCCTCCTGTAAGGGAGCATCTTGCAAGGACACTGGTGACATAGATCTGGGAGGGGAATGCCCTATCAAGGATCCCCCAGGTGAGCAGTCAGAAGGAGGCAGGCATGAATGCTGCTGCCTGCTGTGAGTGTCAGACGCTGTGTTAGAGTGTTCTGTAGCAGATTCTCCAGGATGCCTCTCACTGTCTGCTGCCGGCACCGGTGTAGAGGTCTGATTTACAGTTGCAGGCGGTGCTGGCATGCGTTTTCTTGTGGTGCGGTGCGGACGGTTTGAGCGGCACCGTCCCTTTAAGCTGAGCCGGGGTTTTTTCGGTGCCGGGGTTTGAAGCGGAGCCGGGGCTTACAGCGGCACCGCTGTTTGAAGCGGCGCCGCTGTTTGAAGCGGCGCCGGCTTTTCTTTCCGCCCCGGGTGGTCAGTGGGACGGCTCGGAGGCAGCACGCACCGGTCCCGGTGCCGAACGGGAGGATCTTCCCTCTGCTTTGCTAGCAGGGGTCCTCAGACTTCCTTGCCCCTTTCCCTGTGTCTTTGGGGAGGAAGAAGGCGGGAGAGAGCACGACGGTGAGGCTCTCTGCTTTGTACTTTTTGACGGCGGGGGGGTTTCATGTTGCGATTCCCCCTGCTCTGTAGGCTGCAGAGCCTTTTCAAACAAAATCATCCTCAGGCGGAGCTCTCTGTCCTTTCTAGCTCTTGCTGTGAGGGAAGCACAATGTGTGCAGCTGTGAGGTGAGGTTCCTCCAATCTATCCTTTCTAGCTCTCGCCGTGAGGGAAGCACAATGTATGCAGCTGTGGGGTGAGTGAGTTTCCCCCAAGCATCTAATACATTTTGTGTGGCCGTCAGAAGCCGGCATAGGCTCGCGGCACTGCTCACATTTTTTAAAGCCTGAGAAGGCTGACATAGTTTGGGAGATTCTTATTTTCTTGTACTGTTGAAGTTTTCAGAGTTTTGTTTGTTTGTTACAGTCTTTTCTTTTCTTTTTATGTGATTTATTTGTTTTTTCCACTTGAAAAGCCGAGGAGAGAGAGCCCCGGTTCACCGGGGCTCCAGTCTGAGGCGAGTTCCAGTCCCCGAAGGGAGATATTGTCAGTTTCGTTCTTTTATACAAGAAAAAATTTTGTTGTTGTTGTTGTTATTTTAAAAGAAGACAAGGAAAGAACTAATTTGGAATATAATAGGGGAAAACTGTGTAAGCTAACTAATAGAAATGCAGTCTGACAGACTGAGAGGGAGCTCCTACTCGCTCTGTCCGCTGACGAGGGCGGTTGAAGAGGAACTGAAAGGGAGGGGGTTGAGCCGCGCGCTACAGAAGGCGGGAAGGGCTCGAGACGCCTTCTGAGCATGCGTGCCTCAACAGGGGGGAAACTGCTTTGCAAAGCTCCGATCTGCGGCTCAGGGCGATCCTTCACCTAGAGTGGAGCACCCACGGGGACACACATCTCGAAGAACACTCGTTACTGCACGAGGTGAGTAACTCCCTTCTTCCACCTCAGCCTTATTATTGGATTTGTACAGATAATGGGGAGGCCTGAAGCAGAACTTTTGAAGGGGCTCTCGAGGACATAGGATCTGGTATTGGAAACTGATACAGCCTCCCCTTTTGTTTTGTAAAACTGTCTTTCCTATCTCACCGTGACATGGTCCCTCGTCATCTCAGACTGTTGGCCGTTGAATACGATAGAAAAAGATTTTCGTCAGATTTCTTTCACCCCTTCATCTCCCCCCATTTCCATCCTTCTTCAGTGACTCTTCTCACGAACAGCTTCTTGTTCAGTAGGTACAATCCAGGTGGCTCTTTAGGAGCCATTCACACATTTTTTTTTAATTGCCTTGGGTCACCAAGTCTTCCTAAATTGTCAAAATGAGTCCCCATCTGGAAAAAGGTTGGGAACCAATGATCTAGATCATCCCTGACAGGCATTTGTGCAATCTCCATTATTGGAGATTTAAGAGCAGGTTAGACAATCTCCCCAGCAATTTATTCCAGTGCTTAGCCATGGCACTTAGGAAGTTTTCTCTTATGTCCAACCTTACCTCCCTTGCTGAAATTTAATCCCATTGCTTTTTGCTCCATCCTCAGAGGTTAAGGACAATTTTTCCCCTCCTTCTTGTAGCAACTTATTATATACTTTATTTACTTGTTACATTACTTTTTGTCTTGTTTTCTCCAAACGAAATATCCCATTTTTTTTTTCAAATTTCTCCTCATCAGTCATGTTTTCTAAACCTTGAATCCTTTTTTTGCTCCCTTCTGGTCTTTCTCCAATTTGTCCACATCCTTCCTGAAATGTGGCACCCAGAACTGAACACAGTATTCTAGCTGGGGCCTAATCAGCACCGAGTACAGTAGAGGAATTACTTTGTGTACCTCACAACACTCTTGCTAATGCATCCCAAAAGTGACGTTTGCTTTTTTTCTCCCCCCCCCCAACTGTTGTTATTCTGTTGACCCATATTTTGATTGTGACACTATGACCATCAAATTCCTTTCTGCAATAAATGATAGTCATTTCCCATTTTGTATGTGTGCTGCTTATTGCTTTTTACATAAATTGACATTTGCCCTTACTGCATTTCATGCCATTTATTTCAGACCATTTCTTCAGTTATTCCAGATCATTTTGAAGTGAGGAAAGCTATCCTAGATGCACAGTATTAAATCAGACCAGTGCGTCCACTATATGCCATTAAGCATAAATAAATCCACCCCCAGGCACGCACATGAACAAAAGCAGAATTAGAACAGAACCGGATATGAACTCTGGTTTTCAAAAGCAGGTACTAAATGTACAGACAGTGCACTCCATTCTATTAAATGAATCAATGTATGATTTTAAAAACATTTTTAAAGACATTGACTGAAAACCATGTAAGAGTAACAAAGCTTCTGTCGGTATCTAATATTTAAGAAACTGTTTCCAAAACCAAGCAGAAATCAGAGTTCTTTGTGTTCACAATTCCAAGATCTGTCACTTTTCAAACTATAAGCGGATGCCTTTTCATCATTAATTAACAACTCCAGCTCGCTGTTGGGCTGACGCAACAAGGAGTTTATTTAGGATTTTCATGTGGATAATCTAACTTGCCAAACACTGTACCAGCACAAACATGAGGTAACAGTATGGTTGTCCCTATTGCACCGAACTTCACGTTTACAAAACTAAGACAAATTGTGTTAGGTAGCGCATAGCTTTTTCATATAGTTTGAGAAACAAGCCTTCTGGAGTGTTATTGTGCAGAAGAGAAATAGCCCTTTGGAGGGATAACACACTAATGTCTTAACTTACTGCATCAATTGGTGCCTCAGAACTATAATCTGAAAGGAACATGCTTGACTAATTTATGTTTTAGAACAATGACTGTTTCAGTTTACCTGCATCTGTTTAACTCTCTCCACACTTAGGACTCTTCCAAATAAATATTATTTTTATCATTTTCAACTTCAAACACACTCCAATACCACCTTTTTTCCAACTCAAGGGCCCCCGCACTTCAAAGTTGCAGAAGACACTAAAATTAGAGCACCAGAAAAACAGAGTACCCTATGAACAAGCAGATGAATGGAAAGAAATACTGATAGTTAACATGACATATCCAGAACACCTCTCAATACTTAGAAATGCTAAATTAAAGATTAAAATATTTATTATTATTTAAATGTACATGTACCTGGTCTCTCTGATCCCATTCTCCTTGTTGTTTGAGAGACGGGATTCCCCAGATGGTCAGTTTTCCTGAGAAGTGGATAGCTGCTAGAAGAGTTCCATCAGGAGAAAGGCTCATTTTGAAAACTCCATCCTGCCCAACCAGGAGTAAAAAGAAAATTGTTTTGCAGTAAGAATAGACTAAAATCAGTTCAGCAATAAAGTAACTTTTCCTTTTATTTTATTATATGGGGGTTTTAAATTGAAAGCTTCGAGCATACTGTAAATTTGAAATATTTAATTTTCAAACATAATGAATATAATCAAATAAAGTTTAATAATACAGGTAGAATGTAGCCTATATACCTGTATTACTGAACATCTTCATTTGTTAATCTGAGGACCAGAATACCCCATAAGATACAGTAAATAAGAAGCAAACACTGGTGTAAGTCTTTTGACTACATTTATCATAAAAGAAGAAGAAGAGACAGTTCTTCAATTGGTGTTTGGCAAATTAAAGCTATAATGGGATGGACTAAAAATTTCTTTTTTAATCAAAATAATCTTATTTGAATCATTTTTAATATAAACTAAATATATTTTTTCTTTTAAAAACTTCCAAAATTAAATTGAGAACTTATGTTAAAGCATTAAGCATGCCATACTCTTAAAATTATTTAAATTACATAAAAATAATATTCAAGCAGTACATGTTTTCTACAGAAATTAGAGCAAAGTTAACCCACTGTAATGGTGGGGAAAATCACTAGCTAACCACCTGATTCTGTTGAACTGCTAAACCAGCTTTTGATAGCAGAATCTTTTTCTGCAAGTACAGAGAGAACATTATCTCCATTTCAGTTTATTCAACTAGTTCAGCCCAAGGACTAGTTAATTCAAAACTGAGAAACCAATTGGGAGTTGAAAAAGTAGGAAAGCCTGTTTTCCTATTCTACGTTATTAATAAAAATTAAGTGTGTGACCTTGAGAGCTACTAGTTTTACAATCTTGAAAGACAGTTACCAGAAATAATTAGTTCCATTCACTAACTACAACAGAGAACACTCCATTTGTTTAATAAATCAGTTAATTTTAAATATAAAACACATTTTGATATTTTTCTCGTCTGTTCTGCATGCTTAAGTGATTTTATTTAATTAAAAAAAACTAAAATCCTGTTTGGAGGCATTTTTACTTGATTGCCATCGAAATGCAGTCTGACAAGTCACAAATAAAAAGTTCAGGTTAATCATCCAGTAAATAAGTAATGTGTCATTCCCAATTTTCTAACATAAAACTTTAAAAATTAACAATCTGAATAAATATATATTGAGCCATATAATTACTTAAATGTGTATAGATTAATCAGCAGAAAATAATCAAGACTGCCTAGTTATTGTTCATGCCCTTCCAGAACGTCACGGTCAGCAAAACTCAAACCTTTGAAAACGAAGAAATACAGAGTTAAAGCAGCACAACCCCTCGAGCTGGCTGGGAATTATCCCAAGGCACTCTTGCTGCACTCACTGTGTTAAATGAGAGTGTACTGCATGGTGGAAAAATAAATTTGAGCAATTTGAAAGAGATGATGTGATATGAGATCTGGGGATCAGTTTGAGGAGCACCTTAAAACTGTGAGAATACCAGGATGTGAGGTCCCAAAGGAAAGAAGTGCATGTATACTATGAAGTTCCAGTCTGTATCACTTCAATACAGAATTGTTTAGTCTGTGTCAGTAGCAGGGAAGGTGTGAAACAAATGTAAGAAATTATTTCTTCACACAATCAATCTGTGAAACTCATTGCCAGACTTGTTGTGAAAACCAAAACTATAACTGGGTTTACAAAAGAATTAAAATAAATGAACGGAGGTCCATCAACGACTGTTAGCCAAGATGACCAGGAACACAACTCTGTGTTCTGTGTGTCCCTAAGACTCTGATTAGCAGAAGCTGGAAATAGTTACCAGGGAAGGATCACTCAGTAAAATGTCCTGTTCTGTTCTCTTCATCTGGCACTGGACACTGTTGGAAGACACAGTAATGGGCTATGTGGACCACTGGTGCGACCAACTACGGCCATTCTTAAAATCATGCTTACAGCAGAAATTAACTATGGACATGACTGGTGCCACATATGACTGAAATTTAAGTCTAGCTTCTGAAGATCATCAAGAAGCTACAACTTTGAAATTTCAAATGAAAAAAAAATTTAAAGGTCTTTCATTTTTAGACCAGCTTCTGTTTTACCTCAAACTATTTAACCTGTACATTTTGTTCACTAGTATATTGAAAACTAGCTTATTAGTTTTACTTTCAGTTCTTATACGTTATGCTGGAGTAGTCAATAGGCAGACTATGGGCCAAATGCAGACTATCTATACTTTTGAATGGGCCGTAAAATCTTTTTTTTTTTAATCATCATTGTTATTTTTTAATTATTTTCTCTTGAATCAGGACCTTGACTCTACATTGACAAAAATTAAAATGACTATCCTTGTACTATGAGTTTGACATATGAAATATTATCCTTTTAAACTTAAAACAACAAGCTTTTATTAAAAATTAAAACTATAACAAAAAAAATATACATTTTGCACCTAAAGTACCTGATCATGTCTGGTTAACAGTAGATTTTTCCTCTGTTAAAAAACAACTGGTATGAGAGCCTGGCGCTTTCTGTTTTTCTTTGCTAAAAGTTTCAAAGCTACAAATGGTGCTCTTCTTTTTTAGATTTATTCACAGAAGAGAAAGGTGGATATGAAATTGCATGGAAGTGTAAAATAAAAACATTAATTCCCTACTTACTAGACAAAGAGTCTTTCTTAATATGTCATCATTAGCAAACACTAAGACAGGCCATTTTGAAGGCCAATATATAACTCAGGGTATATCTAAACTACATCCCTCTGTCAAAAGAGGGATGTAAATTAGGCAAATCAAAAGTGCAAATGAAGCAGGGATTTAAATATACCATGCTTCATTTGCATAATTGCGTCACAGCAGTCTTTCGAAAAAGGGTATTTCGAAAGTGAAAGCACTGTTTAGAGACAGTTCTTTAAAAAAATCCCTTTTTTTCAGAAGATCCTGTACTCCTGAGGGGGATTTTTTTCCCCCCAAAAGAACCGCATCTAGATGGCACTTTCACTTTCGAAATACCCTTTTTCGAAAGACTGCTGTGACGCAATTATGCAAATGAAGCACAGGGTATTTAAATCCCCACTTCATTTGCACTTTCGATTTGCCTAATTTACATCCCTCTTTCAACACAGGGATGTAGTTTAGACATACCCTCAGAAATCAGTACAACTGCTGTTCCTTTAGATGGCCATTAGATACATCACACACCTTCAAATCTAGCCTCTCAAAAGATTAATGTGTCCTTTCTGCTACCCAAGTGAAGAGTTCTACCCTGAGGGTAACTTCATAACAAAATGTGGAAAACTTCTGTAGACTGGCATATCACATCTAAGTTGAGAACAGCTGTCTCCACAGAAAAGTCCTTGCTGAAAGCTAGAAAAAGTATTATATTTCTTTTTTAATCTCCCTTAAATCTCAATAAAATTATCCTTCTGGTAATTAAGATGGAATTTCTGAAATGGTATTGAAACTTTTGAAGATGAGAGGACACCAAATGAAATTAATGGGTAGCAGGTTTAAAACTAATAAAATAAAGTTCTTCTTCACACAGCGTGTAGTCAACCTGTGGAACTCCTTGCCAGAGGAGGCTGTGAAGGCTAGGACTATAATAGATTTTAAAGAGAAGCTAGATAATTTCATGGAGGTTAGGTCCATAAAAGGCTATTAGCCAGGGGATAAAATGGTGTCCTTGGCCTCTGTTTGTCAGAGGCTGGAGAGGGATGGCAGGAGACAAATTGCTTGATCATTGTCTTCGGTCCACCCTCTCTCTGGGGCACCTGGTGCTGGCCACTGTCGGCAGACAGGATACTGGGCTAGATGGACCTTTGGTCTGACCCAGTACGGCCGTTCTTATGTTTATGAGTGAACAAAAATAGTAATCTTTTCTATTTTAAAATTCAGCAAGAGCAAGTAAACCTAAAGTTTAGTTCAATTCGATACTAGTCTTTCAGTAAAAATTACTTGAGCTTTTTTTAGGCTTAGGCTCTATAGTACTGATAAACCCACCATGTTAGTTTTTTCTTCTTCTTAAGTTGGTTAGTTTTACTTAGGCTTAATGTTTGCTTCTATTGTCTTTCTAAAGTTTTTAATTCTCCATTTTCTCCTATATTCTGAGGAACTTAGAACACTGGTCTCTTTTGGAATACCAAAGGCAAGGTTTGTTCTTTTTCTCTTACCACCAGATTATCAAGGAAGACTGTATGTATGTTAAGCTAGAAAGCATTATAGTATAATACTATACTCTCTCTGGAACAATATTTACTTATTTGTAAATTTATTACTTTACCTTTGGATTATTATTCCATTATTTTAATAAAATCATTAAGGATACATTTTGTTCTCAGGGAAAGTGTTCCTTCTCATTCATATTGAGCAGAGGTTGGCAGTAATATTAGTTGGGGAGGTACTTCAATGTTTTGGTGAGTGGTCAAGGGCCACACATTTCTATGGAGGGGGTGCGGAGGTCTAGGACCAAGATTGGATGCAGAAGGAAGCTCAGGGTAGGGTATTGGTATGCAGGAGAGAGTATGGGTGTGAGAGGGAGCTAGGTGAAGGAGGGAGTTGTGACCTGCCGCAGGAGAGGATTCTGGCCTGGAAGAAGGATGTAGGAGGCAGTGCAGGGTCTGGGAGGGAGTTGTGACCCGGGCACGTGGAGTAGAGAGGTACTGGGTGGTGATCCAGAGCAGGAGGGGGGGTGACCTTAGTCAGCGAGCTGGGGTGTATGAGGGAATGGGGTGCCAAAGATAGACTCTGGCCGGGAGGCGCTTACCTAGGCACTCCCAGCCAGCAGTCCAATGGGATCCTGTACCAGGTTTCCTGCCTGCCATAGTCCCAGAGCTCAGAATTGACTGTTCCACATGCCTCCATAAGGGTGGGGGGAATCTACATGCACTATCCCCTGCCCGCAGCACAATCTCTCAGCTCTCATTCCCTGGTTCCAACAAATGGGAGCTAAGAAATTGTAAGGGAGGCATGGGCAGTCAATGTCAACCAGATGAGAGATGAATGATTGTGCTGGGGGCAGGACAGCACACCAAGGTTCCCCCTCCTCCCTGCACAGAGAGGCAGAAGTAGCAGCCCCTCTGAGTCCTGGGCTACTCCCTGCCTGAGGGTCCTGGCGGGGTGACCACAGGCTGGATTGAAAGGCTTGGCAGGCCATATCTTGCCTGTCCCTGGGCTAAGGAATTGCTCCTCTTACTGATTTAAACATAATAAAATACCAATGAAACTGAGTGTTACAGCTATTAAAACCCCATTTGTCGCATCAAATTGGGACCCAGGCCAAAGAATATAATCAAAAATTCAGATAATCAGGAGAATGAGGATGTGTGAGGGTGAAGTGCCATCTAGAGGGCACAAGAGGAATCGCCTGCTTCTGGCCCTGTGTGTGCTGGCTGTTGGGTTAACATGGAAAGCTGAACAATGGAAGATTGGGACTCTATTGCACCCCCTTATCATTTGTAATGACTCCACATAACAGGACCCCTCATATTACACACTGCTGATAGTGACACTTTCACATGGATCTTCACAGCTCCCCAACCTCCATAGCAAATGGGCAGGTAGGAGAGGATTATTACACCCAAATGACAGAGAATTAGGAATGGCTCAAAGCCAACCAATGCAGAAAAGCAAAACAATTCCCCAAGCAGATGATTGGTTCTGGCTCATTTGCTAGGACTTAAGAGAGAACAAAGTCCTGATTCTGCTCCCTGTCAATGGCCCTCTAGGTCATCCAATCAGCACTGAGGATCTGAAGGGGGGGAAGCCATGGGAAAAGAGAAACGAAAAAGAAATTCCAATGTCCCCAGGCATAATAAGGGACAAAAGCCTAAGTGGGAAAATAATTCTTCCAAGTTAACTTAGTGTTTTCCATGGTCAGGGGCATTTGGCCAGCTCTAAGTGGATCAGGTTGCAGCGGCATCAAACCTCTCACAGACTCTTACCTTCAGGGACATCTTCTTCTAGTTCAATTAGTCCTGAGAAAGGAGAATACTCCTTATGCTCGTGTCCCTTACCCTGAATCCTCTCTCAGACTTCAAGGGCAGACCTCAAGAAGGATACTCCCTGCAGCAAAACTCAGGGGTCTCTGAGATTGCCCCGGCCCTGCAACCTGTCCTACATGGCCATTGTCATGCACTCTCTGTGAGGTCACCACCTCCCAACATCCTTTAACCAATAAGCTGAGGCACTGCAGAAGGCCCTGTGATTGCACTGGTATACCCACCCCTACTCTGCAGGGCTAATGTCCTGCCCTGGCCAGCCGCTGTGCCACTCCTACTCACTCAAAGTTAGTTCTGGGAACAAGCAGGCTGCACATGGAAACATCAAAGGCTGCTCAGTGGGGTGTGCAGTTTGCATTAATTTGCAGACTATAAGGCCAGAAGAGATTGTTAGATCATCTAATCCAAGGGTAGGCAATAATTTTCACTGAGGGGAGGAGGCACTTCACGAATTTTGATACATGGCCGCAGACCAGGTCTGGGTCACCCAGAAGAGACAAGACTAGAGGCTACAGAGATAGATAAAGAGTGTGTGAGAGTGAGAGAATTTCACTCTTTGTGCGACACACAGACTTTGAGACACAGATTGAGTGTATGCGTAGTGTGTACGTGAGTGATTCTGTGTGTGGCACAAACTGAAGGAGGAGGGTGACGGTGACATCAAGAGTTAGGGAGAATAATTTCTCCCCCTTCTCTTATAACAACCTTTTAGGTACTTGAACATCAATTAGATTCCTCTTTCATATAAGCCCAAATCTAAATGAATTACAATGCTATTAGTGTCAAGGAGGAACATATTACCTGTTCTGTTCCTTGTCTGCTGTAAAATCTGAAATTCATAATCCTTAATAATCCACTTCTCTTTGCCTGTTAAAACAGGAGTGTATAACACAATGTAAGATTAAAGACCATCTTTGATTTAGGAGGTAAAAACTAAATCAAATCTAGTAGATGATGAAAGAATGGAATAAGAATACATTACTGTGCAACAGTCTCACAGCTTTATGAAAATTTAAAAATACTCATAAGAATTATTTTATTATGCATGTATTAAAATATCAGTTCACATAACTGTTGCAACAGGTGAAATTTTTTGCTTATGAATTACTTTATATATGCATGTTTCCATGAAAAAGCATAATCAGTTTGCAACTAAATTATACCATTTTATATTGCCAAGTATACACATTAGAACTTTTCACATGTATTAAGCTAAATTGCTACAAGTTAATTATAAATTAATTTCAGTGTACCCATGCCGGGTACACCAATTAAACTTCAGTGAGTTTAATTAGGCCAGTCCAAGTTTTGTGTATGCCGCAGCCCTAAAAAGCGGGTTAAAATTAAGGCTTATTTTAACTCAGCTATAACAGACTAAAATATCCTTGAAATATTTTAGGTGAAAAATAACCTGATCCTAACTGCTCTGCAACATGAATAGTAAATAGTTTTAAGACAGAAAGTGAAAGCTTTGATGAGCCTTATTTTTAATAAAATCATGTTAACATTAATTATATTCCTGCATTCATCAACTGAAGCTTGTATCATTCTTTTCTTGTATCATCTTATATTTCAAGCTGCACTCTTCTGTTATTCAGGTCATCCTGCTTGAATACGGTACAACAATATTACTTTTTACAATATGGAAACCATGCTATGGTTTCCGAGAAGAAAGCAATCTGCATAAAAGCTTATCTTCATGTAACTAGAGCAGTGTTTCTTAAACTGTGTTCATGACACACCGGTGTGCCACGAAGCAGTCGGAGGTGTGCCATGGAGAACAGAGTTCAAAATGGTCGCCCTTAAAGAAGCAGGTGACCTGTTTTTTCTTCCTTTTTTTTTGCTCAATAACTCCCAGCCTGTCTCCCTTTTTTTTTTGCTCAACAAAAATTCCTTGGTGTTCCTTATTAAAAAAAATTTTTTGGTGTTCCTCAATCTTAAAAAGTTTAAGAAACACTGAACTAGAGTAACTGTAATATCCTTCCAAAAGCAAAATTAGAACTCCAAAAGCTACTTACGGTCCCTGTATCCTCTTCATAACTAGTGACCTGTTTATAATGCGGGAACCCAGAAAGAACTCTCCAAGCAGATATCCCACACTTAGTTGCTTTAGATACTTCATTTTTATCTGTTTCACAGCCACCCACAAACAAAAGCCTATAAAAACAAAAACTTCTATTACTGAATGCAGGTTTATGCTTTGTTTTGCCTGCTGCAGGAGTCCAAATATAAATTCTATAATTTCATAAAACAGTAGTATAATAAGTTTTGCCTGATTGAATAAAACCATGCATTAAAATAAAATTTAAAATCTCCAACTAAGGGTAAGCCTACACAAAGTTAACCTGGGTTCTTTTACTTGGGTGTTAGCCATAACCTCCCCATATTGTGCACACAGGAAATAAAATACAAAATAAAAAACCTCTGACTTGGGTTTGGAGACTGAACCTGGTCCAGATGACAGTGGATGAGGATTAGAACATGGGTTCCACTCCAACTTTGGCTGGAACCTGTCCATTTTTCAGTAATGACACAGGCTAAATTACATGTGTGAAGTGAGGACCCATGCAAAATCACCCAATTGCTGATGGTCCTCCGATGCCCTTTCAACAATCCCTCTGCCCGGCCAGGACAGATTTCTCCCTCAATTGGTAATGAAAAAATGTAAAGTATCACCTCACAATGAACCTGAAAACCAGGTCAGGCTTTACAGCTAGAACATTCACACCGTAGCTGAGTAAACCTAACTGTGCAGTGTTGAAATATCCTAACACTGGAGTCCCACAGTGTTTGTTTTGTATTGTACCTACAAACAGTAAGAAATGGTTATTTGTCCCAAAGAATCTGTAAGCTAAACAGACAAAACAGATTCAGAGAAAGGAAGTATTACAGATAAAAAATGGAAAGACAAATTTTATCTTATGCACGTGTTTATGTGGGAATAATTATAACAAAGTTAAATCAAGCAAGTCTTTCATGAACAGGGTAGGGATGTTAAAAGGTGATTACTTTCCTAATCGATTAGTCGTCAACAGATTTTCTGTTGACTAGTTGATTAGTCAATAAGTCGATACAGGTAGGCAGTCCCAGCGCTGAGTCTGGCTATCACCGGTTCACAGAATAACCTCCCCAGCTGCCACTCTATATTGCACGGCCTAGAGAAGCCGCACACGAAGGTGCTGAGTCGGTCCCTGCTCCACACATTTCTTTTCATTTGTCAGCTCACACAGACAGACACACAAAGGTGAATGAAAAGAAACACGTGGAGCAGAGACTGACTCAGAGACTTCACATGCCAGCTTCTCTCGGCTGTACAATGCAGAGCAGCAGCTGGGGGGATGCGACTAATCAATAGTGCTAATTGATAAGCACCTATTGCTTAGTCGACTAGTCACTAACATCCCTAGAACAGGTTGACTTCTTCTGTGTCTCTGCAGCATATTTTCTGAGATGGACATTGCATCCCTATGTCCCAAGTCTCAGCCCAGCTTACACACACAAAACTCTCTTTTCATCTCTGTGCCAAGTTAACAAGAATGAAATTATATCTCATGTGATGTTAATCAAATCTACCAAAGATGAACTGGACTCAATCCAATATATGAGTTACTCATCTATTCTGATACATTTTTCCCATAGTCCCAAAATAAAACAAATTGTACTTCCCCCAAAACCAAAATAAAACAAATTGTACTTCCCCCCCAAAAAGTTAACACACACACACACATCCAAAGACTTGAGATTCTTTAACAAGAACAAAAATTTACTTAAAACATGTTGCTGGTCCAAATATCACTAAAGAGCTTACAATATCATACTATTTTAATATTTAGTTATTTATAAACAAAAATATAAAACCATAAAAGTAATGAACAGCCTATTCTAGAAACAACTACCTATACTAACTGTACATAACATTTCATATTAGTATGATGTATAACTTACACATCACTGCATGTATATTAATTAGTAATATTGTTAACTACAGAGTAGAAAACATGAAAAGATATTAAAAATACCATTTTAACACATTACAAAACATACAACAAATGCTGATTACTACTAAAAGAAAAAAAAACACTTTTTCCTTTAAGTCCCTATGATTACTGTTAAACAAGCAGTTTAGAAACCAGTAATTACTTTGAAAAGAATGTTGAGAACATAGCTCTATGCTAGTATTTTTATTATGAATATGACATTTAAAAAACAAGCTGTCAAAGTAAAAATATTTGTACAGAAAGAACAAACAATCTGGGAAAAAATGAGTAAAAAAAATTAACAAGCTAGGTAACCATATATATCCTCAATGTTCAAGATGTGTTACCATTGAAAGATTCTGCCACCTAGTGGCTAAGATACATATAAAGCTTGTTCATGGTTAAAATGAATTCCCGGATATGTTTAGTAACGAGAGCCACCAGAGATTATGCTCAACTTTGCTTAGATATCTCGAAATAATAATTAAAAGTGAAATATTCTTCTTAAGTTGAAGATGGTCTAAGGGATGTTCTTATTAATTTGTAAAATTTAAATATTATCTACATTAATTTGGGCTAATCAACCAACATTGAGATTACAAACTAGAATTAGATTACAAACTAGAAAGAACATGTCTTTATTTTATTGTTAACTAGTAGTCTAAAAACCTTTCAGATTCAGCATCATGATAATTCTCCACAGCCTTGGAATGGAACATGATCTTCTAGTTACTGCTTGTAACATTAAAATTCTTATTCATCCACTGATTTTTTTTAGATAAACTTCTGTTTCACATGCAAGAATCTAATCACAATGGATGCTCTGCACCGCCTTTCCTATTGTGAGGAGTCTGGAATAAATACAGTTATAGATAAATATTTTTGCAATATAAAATGTATGTAGTAGCAACGTTTGGTAGCCATGTCTAGTGTTAAGTATTTGTTTATTGTTGTATTGTGCTGCTTCTGTTTTTGCCAATGATTATGTCATTTATGAAATTAGAAAAATAAGGGTTGCCCCACTAAAAACAGAATGGGACATCAGAAGTGATCCTTTGCTTGAGTGTTTCAATTAAGTCACAGTTTACACACAGCTCCCAAAAGACTGTCAGAATTTAGTTGTTAATTGAAGTCACCTGCATGAATCTGCAGTCTCATCACTGAAAGGGTAATTCTCTTCTTTATATTATATACTTTATTTTCTACTTTACTTTCCCTTTCAAGGGCTAAAATTGAAATTATTCAAATATTTTGTTTATAACACATTTTAGGCGCATACTGTCTAAATAAAAGTTTGGTATAAATGCATATGAAAGCACTTTGAACATGCAGCATTTTTATTTGTAAAATGAGCACTTAATACAACACATAACAGAAACATGGTATTTAACCATTTTTGCCTCCTTCCAAGAAGCAACAAGAAGCCATATTCTTCCATCATAAGTACTGGTTAAAATTAGGGATGTTAGATATCGTGCAACTGAATAGTCATGTAACTGCATGAAATCTTAATGGTTACGTGATTATTCGATAGTCCCCAGAAGCGGAGCCAGCACGCAGCGCACTCCCAGCTCCACTCCTAGGGAACCCCCTCTACCTCATACTGCTGCCTCTATAGCAGGGGGCCCTCTGATACAGATGGAGCAGCGCGGAGTGGCAGGGTCTTCCCGGGAGTGGGGCCTGGAGTGCCTGTACATGGGGTATGAGCTCCCAGCAGACAAAGGCTAGTCCACGGCAACAGCCTCCGTCCACAGGGAGCTCAGATCCCCAGCAGACAGGGGATGCTGCCACAGACCAGCCTCTGTCCATGGCAAACCTGGGTCATCACGGACAGATGCTGCTTCATGGCAACCTCCCCTGCCCCCTCTGATGGGGAGGGCAGGCTGCACTGCCTCCCCTCGTTGTAAGAGGCAGCAAGGGGTGGGGCAGGTGGGTCTGCCAATTGGGCATGCGTAGGGAGCCTGCCTGAAAGCCAGATTCCCACATTTATCGGCTCTAGCCTGCCCGCCCCCATGCTCTGTGCTGCTGCCTCTCTATTAAAGGCAGCAGCACGGGGAGTAACCGGGGAGGAAGGGGAGTTCATGGGGAGCCAGCTTAAAACCAGTTCCTCACAAGCACCAGCTCCCGCTCCCCCTGTCCTTGCTGCCTCTGATACAGAGGAGGGGGGAGTGCATATAGTTGACAACATTCACCAATAAGCCTAGGCTTGCTGGTTAATCACCTGGTCGACTATACATTGACATCCCTAGTTAAAATGGAAAAAGAAACAGAAGGACTTTGCATCATGCCTGAAAGTCAGCTTCTCGCTATATCAGAGCAATGAGGAAAGTCATTAAGCCTCTTTTGAGGATGCCTTGCCACAATCGCTTTAACATTTACACATACTGTTAGCATGAGCACTTCAAATGACCTTGATTGCTACAACAGCTTGTGGAGTGAAACAAATTTTCAGAAAGCCAACATAAAGTGAGATGTAATAATTTAGGGCCCTCTCCAGTGAAAAAAAAGCTTTCTTTGAATTCCATAGAAGTTTGATCAAGCCATTTTAAATTTAAAAAAAAAAATCAATACCCTGAATAGCACTTGGACTCAAATGAAGCCCTTGGATAACTACTTAAACTATATCACGACAATGGGGAATAAAGAGAAAAGAAAAAGGAAATTCCACAGAAGTATGTGAGTGCACAATGTTCTTCTAACAGGGTTCTTGTAGTTTTTGCTTTGTTTTTGATATTTAAGATTTGGATGGTGTTATTTTTCCTACTTCTCAGGGCTTTGGGGATGGGGATTGAATATAGTTTCGTAATTTGTTTAAGGAAAAACAAACCCAAATTCTATTGTTTACTACTGCAATGATCTTCCCCATCAGGATCATGAACATATCTGTGAACAGAGTCAGTTAACAGTGAAGTTTCAAAGGGAGTATCTCCAGATACATACTCTGTGATTTGAAGAAACAAGACGAGAGCGAGAGAGCGAGAGTGTGCCTGTGTGTGTGTAAAAATAAATAAAAGCTGAGCCATATGTCCCTGTGTATGTCCTTGGAGCCTTTTTTAAATGCTACTTACATTCCTAGTGAAGACAGAGATTACACGCACACACATACAAAGAGAGCACAAATGGAAGAAAAGGGATGTTGAATACATTTCAACTGATACTCTATTTTAACAGTGCGATTAA